GAGGCGATCCTGTCCAACAGGACGCTGCACTACACGACCAACGAGCTCGTCTGGGAGTGTAACACGTCGCGCTCATGCGCCTGCCGCCGCGATCAGCCCGTCGAGCTGGACGAGGAGTCGGTGCGGTGTTTCCGCTCGCCGGAGCTGTTTCGAGCGCTGTCGTCAGCGGAGAGGGCGTATCTGCAGTGGCGGCAGGTCGTTATGCTCTTCTCGGAGCGGTCCATCAGTTTTGATGCGGATCGGCTGCCGGCGCTGTCTGGGATGGCGAAGCAGTTCCAGATGATGCATGAGGATGTGTACGGCAGTGGACGAGAAGGACACGAGAAGCAGCGGAACAGGTATATCGCCGGCTTGTGGGAGGGCGATTTCGCGACGCAGTTGCTCTGGACGGCGGATGACGACTACTGGCGCAACCCCGAGACAGTCTCGCGGAGGCCTGGGAAGTGGAGGGCGCCGAGCTGGAGCTGGGCGGCCATTGAGGGGCCCATCATGTTCCATCCCATGTCGCACTTCAAAGGTGACTTGAAGGTGTTGGATGTTCAGGTAGAACCTCTCATGACGGAGGATATCTACGGTCAAGTTTGCGAGGGAGCCAAGATCGTGGTTCGGGGGGCCATAGTACACAACCTTGAGATTGCAACTACAGAGATACAGGACGGGGATTCAATGATGGGGTTTACGGAAGGCGTCAGATACGACCTCGTGGATGCGGGAGCGAACAGATACACCATGATCTGCGACTATGCAGGCTCTGTTGCCCGTAATCAGCAATACTCCTGTCTGCTCGTGGGAAAGACATGGAACAAGGGCGATGCCCATCCGTATCACGGCTTCATCGTCCTCGAGAGGATAGAAGCTGGGACTGACATATTCAAGCGGGTTGGCGTGTCGTTCCGAGCAGGGGCTTTGAAAAACACGAACGAGATGAAGCTATTCAACGGCGTGGCCCGCGAGGTAATCACTCTTCTCTGAAAGCGTCGATATCCAGATGGATGAAGTCAAAAAAGAAGCTTTTGATAGATGAAGTCGCCCCACTGGGCAAAAGATTGGACGATCAGGGGATTGAACCCTGGGCCTCCCGCAGGCGCTGAAGGAATGCAAAGCGGGCGCTCTACCACTGAGCTAAACGCCCGGTATTAACCGAAAGCATCTCGGCGCTGGCAGACGAACAACGGGACCGGATCTATGAAGGCTTGTTTGTGTTCTTGTTTGCCCAACGCATCTCGAAGTGTTGTCCTTGATCCTCTGTGCAAGCCTGTTAAATATATGGGAAACTCCTCGTGAGGCAGACCGGCAACATGCGGATTATTCTTCCCCTTAGCGCGGAAAGGGCAAGGTTTTTTTTTTCTTCTTAATTTTTCCTGGGAGCGGCTATTTCTCCGTGTGAATGAACAGTGATTGGATAATGAAGACTTCATCGACCCAGGATGAAGTTACTTAGCTGAGGAGGTTTTGGGGCGGGGTAATTTCACATCATGAGAGTTTGGCATCCCGTAGAGGTGACGTTGATATCATATACCCTGCGAGCGAGGAAAGCCAGTAATTGACGCAAGTGTTACACTGTGACGAATCTGGGCACATCATCTGGGTTGTCTGGGGGTTCTCCTCCACAATCAAAGATGGCCAACAGCAGAGAGGAGACTGCTCGAGCAAGAGGCTCTGATCGAAGCAGTCACATAATACTAATGATCACAAGCATCGTCGTAGGTACCTCAAGCATAAGACCACGTAGTACGCTGGCCGGTCACATGAAAGTGGCCCCAGCAGAAAGCCGATTCTCGAATCATCTTCTCTTTTGTGATACACGCCATGGCTGCTCTAAAATATCCCAGAAATGGAGAATGACACTGCGGGATATATACAATCGTCGGAAATTTTTGTCTTCACCTCTTTTCGCCTTTTGTAAAAAACCACAAGACCCATACAAGAAAAAAGACAGAGAACAGAAAGCCCCCGCAAGGAAAACAGAAAAAACATACTCTTAAGCCTGGTTACGCTTGGCAAGCATGCTCAGAGCGCTGCCCGCGAGGATGAATCCAGCCTGGTCCTTGGTAACAGCGTGGGCGGTGGGGATCAACACCTCGGAGCCGTCCTTCTTCTTGACAAGCAGCTGCACCTTGCCCTGCCCGCCGTTCTGGAGCATCTCGTACAAACCGACGGTGCTGACCTCGTCGCACGCCGCAATCTTGTCGTAGTCGGCCTCGTTCTCAAACGTCAGGGGCACGACGCCCTGCTTCTTCAGGTTGGTCTCGTGGATGCGCGCAAATGACTTTGTCAGCACGACGCGAGCGCCGAGGTACCGCGGCTGCAGGGCGGCGTGCTCGCGCGCGCTGCCCTCGCCGTAGTTGTGCTCCGCGACGACGAGCCACTCCTGTCCGCGCTCCTTCCACAGCTGCGCGAGCTCGGGGATGGTGTGCTTGGAGCCGTCGACGTCGTAGGCGGCGTTGACCTCGCCCGTCTCCTTGTTCACGGCCGTGTTGAGCGTGTTTGTGCTGATGTTGGGCAGGTGACCCTTGTACTTGAGCCAGGGGCCCGCGGCCGAGATGGTGTCGGTAGTGCACTTTCCGGTGACCTTGACGAGGACCTTGAGGCCGCTTAGGTCGCTCTCGGGGAAGGGCGCAAAGGGCTCGAGGAATGCGAGACGCTCCGAGGTCGGGGCGATGGCGATCTTGACGTCGGCATTGGGCTCATCGGGCGAGATGGACTGGAGGGACGCGACGCCGGACTCGAAGGGGGTTTTGGGGTTCTCCAGGCCGCGGGGAGCCTCGAACTTGAACTCCTTTCCGTCGGGGGTCTGCAACTTGTCCGTCATGGGGTTGAAGGTGGTCGCACCGGCGTAGGCCATAGCAGTGACGATCTCAGGGGAGGCGAGGAAGTTCATGGTGCCGGGGTTGCCGTCGTTGCGGCCCTTGAAGTTACGGTTGTACGAGGTCAGGATGGCGTTCAGCTGGCCCTTGGGGATGTCGTCCTGACGCTTCCACTGGCCGATGCATGGGCCGCAAGCATTGGAGAGAACGATACCTCCAGCACCCTCCAGAGTCTTCAGAGTACCATCGCGCTCGAGAGTAGCGCGAATCTGCTCGCTTCCAGGGGTGATGTAGAATGGTGCCTTGGGCTTCAAGCCAGCCTTCTCGGCCTGCTTGACCATGCTCTCGACCTTGGTCATGTCCTCGTAGGAGCTGTTGGTGCAGCTGCCAATAAGACCGGCGGACAAAACTTCAGGCCATTGCTCAGTCTGAATGGTCTCCTTGAAAGCGGACAAGGGGGTAGCCAAGTCGGGGGTAAAGGGGCCGTTGATGTGGGGCTCGAGCTCAGAAAGGTTGATCTCAATGACCTGGTCATAGTGGGCATCCTCGTCAGCTCTGAAGTTGAAGGCTGACCACTTCTTGTATGCGTCCAGCGCCTTGTGTTCGGCCTGTCTGCGGGTTTGAAGGAGGTAGCGTTCAGAGGCGGCCGTGTAGGGGAAGATGGAGGTTGTAGCGCCGACTTCGGCACCCATGTTGCAAATGGTGGCCATTCCGGTGGCGCTAAGAGTCTCAACGCCCTCGCCGAAATACTCAACGATAAATCCGGTTCCGCCGCGCACAGTCAACTTGCCGGCCAGGTTGAGAATAACGTCCTTGGGGGACACCCAGTCATTGAGCTTGCCGGTCAGCTTGACTCCGAGCACACGAGGGGCCTTCAGCTCCCAAGGAGCACCGACAAGCGCCTCCACGGCATCGGCACCACCAACTCCGATAGTAATAGTAGAAAGGCCACCAGCGTTAGGGCTGTGGCTGTCGGTTCCCAACATCATGATACCGGGAAGAGCGTAGACCTCCAAAACCGTCTGGTGAATAATGCCTGCACCAGGGGGCCAGAAGTCCATGCCATACTTGCGTCCGGCAGACTCGAGGAAGTCGAACACCTCCTTGTTCACGCTGATGCCGTCCGTCAAATCGCTCTCGGCGCCCTTGGATCCCACAATCAAGTGGTCACAGTGGATGCTGGCAGGAATCGCAGGCTTCGCAAGGTTGCAGGACATGAACTGCAGCAGCGCCATCTGTGCCGATGCATCTTGCATGTTGACTCGGTCTGGGTTCAGCTTGAGGTTGGCACTGCCGCGGATATTGCGTCCATTGTCCGTGTTCGTAAGGAGCGAGTCCTCGACGTTGTCCAGATGACTGTACAGGATCTTCTCGGCGAGGGTGAGGCGCTGCTGTCCGAGGACATGACGGACCTTGAGGAGGTTGTCGTGAAGTCTGCGGTACGTGTCGGGCTTGATAGACTTGGGGAGCAGCTTGCGCATCTCAGCATCTTGCTGCTCAACGTCCTGAGCGGTCGCGAATGTCCTCCTAATCGGCAGGCTCGAGGATGCGGAAAGGCATGGTCGCGTGCGAGTCAGAAGCCGCTACAACCTCGTCAGTTTCTCTTTTCTCTTCTCACTGATTGAAATACAGTTATTCCTCACCCTCGCGGCGCCTCCTGATCGACTGGCAAGCTCAATTGGTGCCATCGTCACTGAGCACGTCTCACAGGTTACTGTGAGTCGAACTTGGTGGCGGGGTGTGATGTGGAATTTTTTGGGTTGACTGTTGGCGACATCGGCACGTAAGATCCAATTGGAAAGACTCAATTGAAAAGCCGGTGCACGAGTCCGGGGGAAGTTGCACCTAGTGGAGGTCATAGGCCCAATCCCTGCTCTGCCGGCTTCGCTCCGAAAACTACACCGGGAATAGCTGCGCCGAGGTAATGCCCCTGCACAGTCAACCTGCACGGTCAACCCAGACGGTCCAGCTCAGAGCCGCTTCGCCGAGGTGCTCACTTTCAGTGGAAATGTCACGAACAAAAGGTAAGCTCAATATGAACTTGTGGCCTATCAACCGTTCTACTGGCTGAATTTCAGACGGTAAAAACTATGCAAAGAAACAATTTCCCCTATCCCAGATGCTTATCTATACACAATCCCTGAACTCCTATGTCACTATGTTCCCATCTGTCGATGCCCCCATGGTGCTGCTCTACTGATCGTACTCTGAGCTCTTCGTGCCAATGAAACCCTCGTTTCTCTCTCTTCTCCGCCGGCCCATGACTTCCTTGTACCACTCGGTGAGGGTATAACCCCAGTGGCCGGCAACCAGAACACCGCTGATAACGTTGACAATCTTCATCAAGAACTGGAGGAAGCCGTCTCTGGACTCTTCCACGGATAGCAGAATGGGCTCAATGTCGTACTTGAAGAAGATACCGGGAATGTTGTGGTCATCGGTCTCCTTGCTCTGTTCTGTAACGGCATACTGGTTTGTGGAAATGAGGTTGGACGACGAGTGGCCGACAGAGTAGACGGTGGGAACCACGGACAAGTAGTACTGGAACTTGTGGAAGTTGATCCTGGCGAGGTTGACCGTGCGATCCAGGGGATTCACAAGCGAGGGGTAGAATGGACCGAAGGACATCTCCGAAATGATGTGTGAGAAGTTGAAAGCTGAGTGAAAGTGTAAGCCAACGCGTCAGGACTGAAGCCCAAGATGATCAACTTACCGGCATGATCCAAATGCTCCCCAAACTCCATGTAGCCGTGGCCTCTGGCGGTGATGTGGAAGTCACCCTGCACTCTGTTTACATCGAGGTTGCCGTAGATGCGGCAGCTATCGCCGTCGCCCCAGAGCCTGGGTGTCTTGGCCCATTTGGCCCTCTTCTTGCTGAGCGACACGATGTCGTGGACGTGCTCCTCCCCGAAACCCTCCTCCTCCTGCCAGCCGGCGCCGGTGTCAATCTTGCCCTTGCTGTCTCTCCCCAAGCGGTGGATTCCCTTGCTGTCCACCCACTGAGACCAGTTGGTCTTGTCGCGCTTGAGCATGCTGCTTGCGAGAATACGATCACCCGCCGCATCTTGAACGTTGATGTGAAGGTCATCGCAGTGCATGCGCACGACAATATCCATGTTGATCTGCATCTCGTGCAGTACACCCTTCTCGACGGCAAAAGTGTGCGTTTCGGTACCACGCCACCAGCGACCAAGTTCAGACCAGAAAAGGAAGACTGATATGACCGTCATCGCGACAGTCCATTTTCCACCGCCAGCTGTGCGCGTCACATACTGTGGTTTCGCCTTGGCTAAGGAGACAGGGCTGTTAGCACATGGCTATTCTGGCAATCATTCCCGCCACGTTGAAAGGCAGCGGCACTGAAAAGGAGGCTTGTATCTGGAAAATTGGCAACTTACGAAAGGCATCGAAAGCGCTGACGATGTTCCCCTTCGCCCCAAAGGCGTCGTCGTCCAGGTGCTGCTTCTCGTCCCAGCCGTTCATCATGACGGTCTCAGATGACGTAGATCGAAAAATTGTTCAGAACCAGTGATGTTGCCAGCAAAGAACAGTCGTCAAGTCTTCGGCAGTTCGTGGTCGGGCACTCGAGTTCGTCGCTGATGAAGCTGGTCGCGTAGCCAGTAACGGTTCCTCGATGCGAATCCTTTCGGCTTGATGCAAATGCTCGCCGTTAAAACTTAGTTCCGCTACCGCATGCCTCGTTTCCGGAACCTCAATTGCAAAGGAAAGTCGTCAGTGTCGAAAAAGAACGATATTGTCGAGAATTGGCTTCGCGCAAGTTGGTCAGACCTCTCGGCGCAACTCGTGAAGTGGGAGAGCCTACTGCAGAAAGTCTTAAGGACACTCTATCCAAAAGTTGTCCGCAGTTCGGGCCCCCTGTCCAGGGGTCCTAGAATGATTGGTGCTGGTAACAGCGCTGGTGGGCTAGGAGGGGCGTGTGCATTGGACCTTGTGACAGGGGTGCGGTTACTTGCACATGCGGAGACATTGCACTGAATAGCGGGCAAGACCTACTGGTCATGATAAGAGGCACATCACCATTTACGTGGTTCACTGGTGATTCTTGAAGCAGATTTGTTATTCGAAAAAGCTGTTAAAGCTACGGTTCATTGCTTCCTAAAACCTACAAGTACCAATCTGTAATCTGTCATGAAGAATCATGAAACGAGCGTCGCCTCGACCTAACCTGAAAGATGAGTTGCCAGTAGCTCGCGTTTTCCGCTATTGAGAAGGCCTGCCGGCTTTGCTTATGCCACCTCCAGCTACCGGTTCACTCTCTTAAAACCAGGTTCCAAATGAAATCAAATAACCCCAGGCCTGATGAAATGAGACATGCAAGGAAACCCAAACCCCCGAATACACCACCGATCACTCCTATTCCAGTGGTTAAGCGAAACCAGAAAGATCTCGAGTACTTCACTTTCTGAGTCTCCGCTGCTGCTCCTCGGGGAATTCCTCGTCAGAGGCATCCAGGATGTCGTACTCCTCGTCGGTCATGAAGCCGTCATCAGAAGCATCCCAGTCCTCTTCTTCGCCGCAGTCCTCAAACTCCTCAGCCTCTGAACTGGTCGCACGAGCGGACTCGGACTTCACCTCCTGGTGGATGCTAGAGACAGGGGATTCCTTCTCGAGCTTGGGGAAAATCATGGTGCTGCTCTGCATCTCAGTGGGGATCTCCTTGGGCTCTTGCTTAGGCTCCTCAGGAGCTGGCTGAGTCAACTGAACGCTGACATCGCACCAGAGTCTGTGACCAAACTTCAAACCATCCTTGGTTGTCAGGCGCCAGTAAGAGATTATCTTGCCCTCGCGCGCAGGTGTCCGGAGGAGGACATTGAAAGAGAACTCCTGACCAGGGGCGAGCGGTGCATAGCAGACAGTTGACTCTGAGGCAGAAACGAGCTCAGAGATACCGGCCGGGTGGTTCGAGTCGACGTGGCCCATGTAGTCGCCACCAACGAACTTGACTGAACATCCAGCAGGCCATGCAATATCGCCGTCGTTGCGGAGGACCCATGTCTGCTCAAAGACGTGGTTGGGCGGCAGAAGAGTGCCATCAGCGACCGTATCGCGGACAAAGACAGCCTGAAGATCCTGCTCGGAAAGGGGCTTCTCAACAATTGGCACGGTCTTCTCCTCGGCCACCTCCTCCTTGACTTCTACCTTGGGGGGCTCCACGACAATCTCCTCCTTGATAATCGGCTTAGCTTCAGGTTCAGGAGTCTTCTCGACAACCTCTTCCTTGACAGCCGACTCTGTGGGCTTCACATCCACAACGGTCTGTGGAACGTTCATGGAAGCGTTTGCGGTGGTCTCAGTAGAGCGAGAGCTAGTGCGGCGAAGACTGCGGTCGCCCATCTGCTGCATACGCTGTCCATCTCCACGCTCGCCAGTAGTGGTAACAGTGACGTGACGGACTGGAGTCTTGAACTTGACGAGGGGATGGGTCTTGTTGTGGGTGTTAGCAGGGCTAGCCTCACAGTTGGCACAGAAATCAGTGTCGTGGCAAACAGTGCACTTGTATCGAACGCCAGAGATGTAGGCGGGTGCGTTGTAAGTGCGGGCGCACAGGGGCCCATCGCAGCAGATACCAAAGTGCACAGAGCGGCTGACGGCACGGCTGCGGACCTCCTCGAGAGGCTCGTAAATGGGAACGAAGCGGTGATTGGGGTGAACAAACTTGGAGTTCACGATGCAGTCAGCGCAGTAGTCCCAGTCGGGGCAATCGAGGCACTTGTGGCGGACACCAGCAATGTATTTGTCGCAGCCATCGCAAATGGCATTGTGGCTCTGGTTGCGGCCAGGAGCCAGCTTGATCTGAATGTGGCTAGGAACGTGAGCACCCTCGACGGCGGGGACGAAGGAGTGCTTGGGGTTGTGACCATGGGAGTCCTTCTCGAAGCATGCGTGGCACAAGTCGAAATCCTCGCAAGCTGCGCAGTGGAGGAAGCTGGACTCTGGAAGTTCCGTCACACAGCAGTTGCAGGTGCGCATGCTGTACAGCGCAGTGTTGAAGACTGGACGAAGGAGCTCACTGATGTTGGCGGGTGCCCTGGGAGGCTCTGGAACCGACTCCTCGACCTTGGCCTTGGGCTTTGGTGCAATCGTCTCCGTAGTACTGTTGATGATTTGGCCATTCTTGACAATCCTCTTGATGAGCCAGTGGTCAGCGCCGTAGCATGTGATACCCTGGTCAACACAGTTTTGGCAAAGATCGAAATCACCATCATCGCATGTGGAGCAGTGGTAGTGAGCTTCGGGAACTGTTTGGTCGCAGCTGTTGCAGCACACGGCGAAGTTGGTGTTGGGGTGCATCAATGCGGGGCAGCGGCCCCAAGAAGCTCGTGACGGAGTCTCGGTGGCGGCAGCATTAGCGAACCACTGGTCTCGGGCCGTAATACCCTCAGAAACGGGAATATCTGCAGAAGCGGCTGGCACCTCCTCGTCGTTAATCTTGGCGTGTCTTCTCAGCAGAGATGCAAGGATGGAGGCTTCGAAGTCAAGTCCGGTGTCGCTCGTGGGCAATTCCTTCTTGGTCTCGTTGTCAATGACGCTAGATTGCCTCAGATCAACGAGGGGTTGCGTCGCGGCGTCTTCCGGCTTCTGCTCCTCGGCCTCCTTCTCGACGAGAGGAGTGCTGGACTCTGGCACATCCTCCACTGACACTGGTCTGGGAGACATCTTCTCCTCGGACAATTTGGTAACACGGAGCTTGAGTTTTTGCTTGGCCTTGGCAGCTCTGTACAGCTGCTTGTAGACTGAGACATTCTGCTTATCGAGTGTGATGTACGAACCAGCCGAGTCGGAATACCTCTCGAGAGTGACGTTGGCATCAGAGGTAACGCCCAAAAGAGCTCTCACCTACAAGAAGCTAAATTAGCGTGTGCTTTCAAGAACGAGCCTCATACGCCTCGTGGCCAAGTAACCGGTGTCGCCATCTCACTCAACATTGAAACTCCCGATCCAACGTTCATATGCCGCGGCAATCTGACCAAGGGCGGAAAGAGTGCAATAACGTACCTTATCTTCAAGAGTGCTGGGTCCCATGTCGCGCAGTGGGAGCTTATGGCGGCGAGTCATGCCGTCGAAGTTGATCTTCAGGGTGACCTGAGTGTCTGGCGTTGTTGCTGATGAGGACGCCATTTTGAGAGATGATAAGTAGACTCCGGGTATGGATGAAGAGGAAACTCGCGGTCGGCCGGGCGGGGAAGGGATGACGGCTCTGGCGGATGTTTCACTGATAGGCGGCCAAGTAGCACGGTGCACGAGGCTCGCTCGGTCGGGGTAAGAGATGCGTCTTCCTCCTTACGTCGGGGTTTCAAGGAATACCAGACGAATACACGGTATTTGTTGATTGTTGTAAATGGTTGATTGTAAGGGCGGAGTTGGTGAGAGGGAGGAAAAGAAAAACGGATAAAGCAAGCTTTCCGGGTAGATGGCGAAAGATGGTTGAGAGGGTGAAGGGACGGGGAGTGGGAAAGATAAGTGAGTTGGAGGATGATGGGGGTCGGCGGTCGGTGGCCGGGTGGAGAAAGAAGGTGAGCAGACGAGGAAGGAGCGACCGGATCAGAGATGGGACACTGGAAGCTGGAGTGGGCGGGTGGAGGTGGTGGAGGTGGAGACGGGCTAGGCGGATGATGCGTGTGCGTCTCTGCGTCTCGTTCTCTCTATGGTGGAAGGTCTTGACCCTCGGGAGCTGTGTGTGAGACGGGACTTGTTCAAGTGCGGCAGACAAACAGCTTTGCTCTCCGCAGGTGACTTTGGGGGTCGGGATGGGGAGAATACCTAGTACCAGGGGGACCAGGAGCCACTTATGTACCAAGAGCCAGACGAAAGATGAAGAGGCCGAAACCGTGGTGACCCGAAAAGGGAACTCGGGTGGTGGGAAAGTGAGGATGGATGGCGAGGGATGGGAAGGGAAGGCGGGCAAGCCGCAAGGCAGGAAAGGCGGTAGTAGCGTCAGTCGTCACTCTCGCAACTGCCTTGAGATTCTCACGGTTCACCACTTGCCCCCTGGGGAGTACATCACAAAGTAACAAGGCAAGGTTCCTACCTACCTTAGGTAGACTCTCACACTCTCACACTCTCACCTCACAGCGCTCTCTCACTCTCACCCATCCGCGGAGAACATGGCATAGCATGGCATGTCTGATGTCGGTGACCGGGATCCCTCAATGGGTGGACCTGTTGAAGGGCGGAGGGGTCATGGACATGACATTGCTGGCCTTCCCCAGGTAAGCTTGGTGCCTTTTCACACCTTCAGAGGTACTTATCCAACGTACCGTGGGGGGAAAGAGAGGGGCAAGGTGACTCTAGAGAAATCTGGTTGGCTGGTTGGTAGTACCTACGGAAAAGGAACGTACCTTTCTGCAGCTGCTTCCGCGCTGTTAGGCGAGAGCGAAGGGTGTGAACTTGAAAGGTGTAAACTGCTTATTCCGCTCGCTAACAAGGTACCTTATCGAACATTGCCTCTTGCCTCTTGACTGCCTCAAGGATCGAGCTATCCGTTCGTGGGCGCGGGAAGGCACTCCAGGACTGAGGCGTCTGGGAGTAGGTATACGCTTGCAGAGATAGCCTTTGCTGTGGGAAAGCCGAGACACCGCTAACCAAGACCATGTCAAAGTGTCAAATCCGCGTAGTGGCATTAGGGATAGATGCCCCCCAAGGTTCAAACCTCCTCCCGCCGCTCTGCTTAGCAAGCCGGGCCTCTTGTCGCCATCCATGTTCCATGGATTGCTATTCGGGAACCACAACTGCTCACATGTCACTGCAGGCAGATACACCAAGGCCAGGCAAACCAGTCAGTCAGCCAAGCCAGGCAGCCTACGACACCTCAGCTCGCCCCTCTGGCTTCACATTCGTTCACATAGTACACCATCACAGTGGGCAGCAGGCGGCAAAAAAGATAAATCATGACCATGGAAGAAGCTCGAAAGAGGCGGTCAACAGCCACCACCGCGAAATAGCGACCCGGCAGCTTACAGTGCCATCAATGGAATCTGCTCCAACCTTCCTCGCCCCAATTCAATTCATTGTCCACAACCATGGCTACGGCCACGTTCGCTTCTCGCAGCCTCGATTCCTTCTTTTTTTCCCTTGACTGGATGAACCGGTCGAGTCGTCAACTTCGGCTTCGCCTCCGTCCTTCGCCCTTTCGCCTTTTCAGTATAGTAGTCGAGGAACCGACGAGGTCTCGGCGCTACCAAATCATCCGCATTTTGATTCCCTTTCTAATCTTTGCCTCATGCTATTTCCCACCCTTCGCCTACCAGGATTCACACCCACACGCCCCCCGGCAATGACTCTCTCCTTCAACCGCTACGAGCTACCCTGGTACGCCCGGGCAAAGACGCAATAACCACTGCCCATTGGCACATGACGGGGGACTGCCCTGCAAACACCAGACTCGAAATGAGGCGAACTGGAGCCTCGCCGCGAATTGTTCCTATGTTTACGCACTTCAACTATGCAAAACGTGGACAATAAGCAGTCATAGGGGTTTGGCTTGGTCATCGACCTCTCTTGGGCTCCTTAATCTTCTCACATTTCCTTCTGCTTGAACTCGCATCTGGCGTTCAGACGTGCCATGTCACCATGGTGGCCTGCCCTCTCGACTACCGACAACTGGTCGATCTGGGTCTTCATGCAACGAATCGCGATGCCGGAGCACCAGCTTGCTGCATAGTTGCATAGTCGGTCAGTCGGACAGTCGGTCATCCTCCACTGCGATTCAGTGATAAGACAAGGAATACGACCTCCGACCTGTCCGTCTACCAGACTTTGTGCCTGGATTGGCCCAGGGGTGTCCAGTGCTATGTTTGCCCAGAAGGCGCGAGTGTCTCGCACCTAGCTATGCGTTTGGCGCAAATACTTTTACGCCGCAGAAGGGAAAGCGAAAACCTCCAGACAGTCACTGCAGTCGATGCGTTATCCAACGCGTGGTAAAACCCAACCTCATGCAGCTACCGCATCCGATCTTAGCGAGCCCGGCAGCGCGGTCGCTCGAGATCGGAATGGGGAGGAGGGGCGGGTCGACCGACGACCACGGGAGACAGTCTGTTCTCTGTCACCTGAGCCTCTATTCCTTACTGGAAGCAGCAATCGCTGCCGCAAGTCACGCAGCACGCAATCCTTCAGTACTCAGTCTCGCTAGGCCTTGTCACCGAATGGAGCTGAAGTCGGACAAGACAAAGAGCTGAGGTCAAACAGGAAAAATCCGTCCGCGCTTGACTCGTTCACGTGGAGATCCTTTCATCTGTCTTGGACCGAGACAGAGCCTCCTCTAATACGAGCTCTCTATCAATGTCTGAAGTAGATCAAACTGGCACTCACCCTCCGATGCTGAGGCACGTTAAGCCGGCCTTAGTCAGCTAGTGACTAGTTCCCTCCTTTGCAGAAGGTCTCCGTCTTCAATTCCTATCGAAGAGGCTTTTGTGTGTGTCTCGGGCCATCAAGATCGACGTATGCCAACCTCGCATCAAACCTTCTCTGACAAGTGTCTGTGGGATGAATTAAGGACGGATGCTTCATAGCTACTTTACACCGAAAGGAATGGCCACGGCGACGCTCACGGGGACGAAGTTGGAAATGACAGCTCATCGTCCAGACGGAAATCTGCAGCAATGGCGCCGGCGGACCAACAACAGCGCTCTGACAAAGGCGGGGGAGGCGGGGAAGCTCTCGGTGAGCAAAGCAAGCAGGCCATAAGCAACCAAATATCTCACGGCCTCATTTAGGCCAGCTGGCTGGTCGGTCTTTTGGTCCAGATCGACAGACGGCGGGAACAGCGAACAGTCGAGAAGCCATCCTTCCAGGTCCGAGAGCGCTGCTCGCCTGCCTAGGCCGTCCTCAACAGGCAAAGACGATACAGTTATCGCAACGCTACGCTGTATGTCACCATTCTAGTGTCCAGCCATCCAGGCTGCTAGTCATGCGAACTCAACCCCCGCCTTTTCCCAAAGTTCTCATCAAAGTTACCAAACCACCGCTGCGGAGGCTGCCAAGAAAAGGATGTTTTGTTGTCACTCGCATTGCCTGACATTGAATTCATCCGGCAAGCTCGACCTCCATAGTGTAAAGCAGGACGTGGGAAAGTAAAGTGGCCGGCTCAGGGGTCTGTCCCAAGAAGGGCAATCCGGACAAGACAAGTCGCTCTCCGGACCCGAAGCTCCATTGCGCCCGGATCGAAGCCGACCACCCGATCTCTCCACCTCGAGGCTCAACCGCCTCACACACTGTACACTGTAGGAAGACCGTGACTTTTTTCCATCTCATCATCCCCCCTCGCTTCTTGAATCATCTAATGTCTGTCCAAGGCACCAAAGCTACGTCAGGCGAAAAAATGCAATGAGAAAGGTGAAAAAGCAATACCCGCACGAGGAAGTTAGGAACAGTCTTTAACTTCCATACTCGTCCCATGAATTCGCTCTTGGCGCCGCCTTTCATCGACTCATCGAGGACCTTGAAAGTCTACCTAGTGCGGAACATGTTCCCCGTCTACCCCTGAAGAAAGGTCGAGGTAAGCTCGAAAGCTCGGTAGGCCTCACGCCTGCCAAAAAAAGACGGTTCAGAGGCGAAGCAAACAAAGGAAGGGCCCAGAACTCGACAATACGTCATGTTTCCCCCCTCTCCCCCTCCGCCTTTGAAATCTCACCACCTTTGACCAACCCCAAAGAGACATCATCCGGTTCTCCAATCGCTTTGTTTCAGGATTGCAGGGCTTGGCGAGGGGGCCGCAGCAATTCGTCCAGACAAGAAATAAAGATGAAGACTGAGGCAGCGCGAACGCGTGTCTTGCTGTCGTGCCTGCTCTAGTACCCGCTCGCTGACCAAGATCCTTCGTTGCCTAATAGGTACCCATCTTTCGACTCATAATCTTTAGGGAAAGAGAGGCAAAAATTTTCTAAAAAAAAAAATGCATTGAGTTTTACGGATAGACGTTGGCTTATCATTCATCCCTCGCCTGGTTGGGTTTCTCCGCCGGACAGGTCTCGCAAAGAGACGACGGGACGACAAATCATTTCCCCTCTATGAAGTCGTACCGGCCTTGTAGGCTCATATAAGACGCCTCTGATAGGGGGTTTACGTGTACACACGTCTCGTATTTTGCATGCACATCCTACCTTGCCTACGTGCCCTATTGTCCGGAAACGTCCGCACGACTTACACGTCGCCAGATGCCGAGGCCGACATGTCTCCTGGTTTTTCTTCGCTGTTTTAATCCCATGTCGTGTCTGTACGCGTTAAGAGGGAAACTATTGATGCGGTAGGACAGATAGGTTGATCGATCGTGGACGTGAGCAATCGATAGATGGCCGGCACCACCGTATCTGCAGTCATCGAGCAGAGGGTCAAAGCTCACCCCTTAATGCGAAGCTATTGATGGTGATGATTGTTAAGCCCGTTGTGACCATGCTAAAGTATTGGGCATTTTCCCAGTTCGTGACCAACTGAGAAACAGCAAGAGAGTCTGCGAGGAACCACAGAAGTTGCTCAGCCATGCCTACTTACTTTTGATATGACAATACAGGATTTTCTTACCATCATTGTTCTGGACATCTGACAGATCCAAGCAAGCTGCCATCAAGCTCATGATCTTGGTCACCATGATGATGTGGCTGCCTCTTCCGACCCTCAACACTCAGGAATGCAAGGAAGGATGTTTCCGGGCAGCAACGTTGTCAGACGTTGCCCCCCCCCCCCCCCGTTCTCCAAGTTATCCGAAACCGGCCCAACGATAAGAGCGAAGATGGCAATCAGTTCTTCTCAGTAAGTGAGATATTGGGTAAGATGTCTCTAACGGTTAGTCAAGCAATGGACGATCCTTGCACTCTTTAACATCTAGAATGTCCAACATCACCTTTCCCACCGCGAATATCAACATGCGGTCAATTCGTTCGTTCATCGTTGGGCTCTAGGTCGATTCTACGGTCTCACGGTGACGGAGACTCAAGGTCGGACTAGAGCCGCAATCAGTCGAGGTTACGGACAGTGTACACCCTGGCAGGCGGGACCAATGTTCAATCACGAAGACTTCATACAGTAGCTTTAAACTACCTGCCCCAGTTCCATTCCAGTGCCATTCCACCGTCTTTGCCCTCCTCTTTTTTCAGTATAATATTCAACACCACCACTTTCATTCTCACTCCGCGCTTCGGTCCCTTCCCCCTGTGCCATTCTCTCTCGTCTCGTCTCCTAACAAAACCATGAGAATGCTCTTGAGCCAACCGACCCTCCTCTTACCCCTCACATCTTCAAATACGAATTTAGGATACTGTCAGAACTTTTCCACCACATCCTCCTCTTCCAATACACACTTGAGAAAAACAGCAAGTACAATTGCGCTGCCTAAACAATAAGTAGCGTAAACAGAAAATAAAAAAAGGAATACCTTGATGGGAACGAGGAAAAGAGATCTAGGCTTTCATTGGATCATGAACGGAGTAGAAACAAAACGAGGAAAAGAAAAAAGTTAGAAACGACATCGAAAGGGTTGTCAGTATTGTGTACCGATCCCGCTCTCGAGTATTTACTTTGTAAAGAGTGTGTGGAAGAACGTCTAGGTAAAAGAACTCAGCCATCGTTGCGAACATCAATAAGCAAAAAGAAAAGGTGAGTTGAAGCAAAATGTATAGACGCTCAAGAAACACAACGAATAGCCTCCCCGATAATCATCCGCCTTTGAATCCAATAAAAACAGGCCCGGGGATTTTAATGAAAAAACTCAGAAACGCCAGAAACACAAGGCGGCGACGTGAAGTGGACGGATGGAAATAGGCTGGAAAAGATGATAGAATGTGGTAGAGACAGAGTGTGAGGAACTTCTTGAATTCGAGAACAAAGCGAGGTTGTAGGAACCAGGGAGGAGGAGGGAAACCCCCTTTTCTGTCGACCGCTTCTCGCTCGCTCTCCACCAATTCCGTAGGAATTCTCCTCCTTTTGTCCAAGATATGCTTGTAACCATACGTTGGAACAGGAGAAGTCAAGTAAAACCTCAAAAGGACAGCGAAAGTACCTCACAACCCCATCCTCCAACAGTGTACCAATTCAACCCAGATCAAGAGCGCTCATTCCTATCAATACTATAATCATAGAGTCCAAACACCGCAAAGTTTTTTGTGGATTTCCTCCTGCCCTTTGTCCCCGTCCGGCCGTCCGACGAGAAGAGGGTATAGCGACAGCTAGAGAGCCGACAATGACAATTACAAGGATTAGAAGGAAGGCGGTAGGAAGTGTGGGAAAACCTAGGAAGGCATTTGCCCGCACCCCTATTGCGAGTAGTACACCATCCCGGGAGCTGGCTGCTGGTAGTAAAAGGCGTCCGGGCTCGGAGTCACCATACCGCCCATACCACTGACACCGGGGCCAAATTGCGGAGGAGGCTGGTAGCTCTGCTGATAGTTGGACATCTGGGTGGCATCGTAGTAGTACACCATACCATTGACCTCTTGAGCTACCAAATTGGGACCCGGCGGTCCTTGGCCGTTTGCTTGTGCAGCCGCGGGGTCTGCCTGGGCTTGAGGAGGGAACCCTTGGCCTTGACCTGGCTGTCCCGAGGGAACGAAGGATGGAGCTGCAGCAGAAGGTCCCATATTGTTGCCATTGTACTGCCCAGGGTAGTAATACGGCTGCTGAGGCTGCATCATAGGATAAGGTTGGTTGTAGAAGTTTTGCTGCTGCTGGAAGGTGTTTGGCTGGAACGGAGCCGCGTGAATTGCCCTCTCGGGAATCTGGGAAAGAGGCGTGCCGGTAGAGTGTTGAGTGGGATATGACGGCTGTCGCGAGTGGGCTTCCTGCGGCATGCCGTTGGAGACCTGGAGAGGAACCTGCTGATGGAAAGCTTGTTGGAAGGCTTGCGGGCCTTGATTGAGGGTCGGCGATTCAATGTTCGTGACCGAGACGGCCTTTTGAGGACGAGGCTGGTGCATGGGGATCGAGTTCGGGCGACTCTCTTGGAAGGCAGGCTTCTGTGGCAACGGGTGCGTCTGCGGCTGCGGCAAGTCATTGATAGATGTCTCATTTGGCTGCATAGGATAACCGTCCTGTCCAACGAATGGCTGATTCGGGTGAGCTGCAGGCGGGAGGCGGACGACTGGTCGGGGGTTCTCGACCGGAATCGGGGCCCGCGACATGACAGAGCCTGTGGGGGAGAACAAGTAGTCACGCCCATCAGGAGCGAGAGAGGAGCGACGACTAAGGGCGATGCTGGGAGAGTAGGCGCTGCCGTAGTAGCTTCCGCCAAAGACACTGGTCCGCCGGGAGAAGCCTCCCATGGAGCCAAGTCCAGAGCGAGGTTTACCTCGGGTCCGCTGTTGGTTGGGTCGCATCGCCCGGGGGATAAAGATGAAGGATCGGTCGACAGCTGGGAAGATGTACTTGGGCGGGTTATCGGGCAAGGAGATGCGGACAGGCTTGTCACGGCGAAGGGGTGGCCGATGATCCGGAAGCTTGGTGTATTGTTTCACAGGCATGCCAAAGGCGGCGGGAGCTTTGCCAACAACGGGAAGAGACACCCTGACCTGCACGTTTCCGATGTGTCGCTCGGTCGACAAAGTCCGGTTGATCGGGGTGGGGTTGGACGGGCACGTTGGGATGAAGCCGTTGCCGTTGGCCGGGCCTTCAGTTTCGACGGGCAGGTGCCTTGGATGTCTCGAGGGAGGCGGTTCGGTCACGGCCTCGTGCATATCATGCGCCCATTGGCCGCTCGTGAGAGGATCGGTCGGACTGTGCAGTTGACTGCGCGGATTAGCCGGGATACGGGCAGAGTCTTGCTGGGCAGCGTACTTGATGGGTGCATAGGGGCCTCCAATGCCTCCGCCACGGCCGCCGCGTCCTCGTCCTCTGCCAAAGGGCCGGAAGCCGTTGGCAGAGGGTCCGGCATGACGATGATCGTGCATAAAGAAGGCCCCTCTGTTGGGAACGAAGGCGGGGTCTTCATCCCTTCTCCGCTTGTATTCTTCGTGTTCCCGGCGACGACGTTCGTTGACAGGCTCGGCAGGGCGGGACGAGTGGGAGCTCACTACGAGAGGGGCAGAAGACTTTGGAGGAGATGCGGTTCCGTCAAGCTGTGCCTCTGGTTGAACGGGCTCGGACCGGTCATTGACAGATAGCTCCTCGGCATCGGGTGCGGCCTTGTTGGTCGTCGAGGGGGCCAGGGCCGAGTGTTTCCGGCTACCAGACTTCGCATTTCCATTGCCAGCCGACTTCCTAGGGTTGGGGGTAACGGGAGAAGCCTCATCGATGTTGCTCGTATCGCTGTCGTTGCCGTGATCGTGGTCGTCGCTGATGATGGAACCCTCGGTCAGAGAGTCATCATCGAGTTCGAGCTGGTCAGGTCCACCTTCTCCGTCTTCCTCATCTTCGATGCGTCTTCTGTGACCAATCTTTCGGCGTCTTGGGGCGGCCATATTGAAGTTTTGTAGGAGCTGCCTGTGCCTGGCTCTGTTGGTTGATGAGCTGGGTACGAGATCGAGCGAGGGGCGATGCTCAAGTTGACGGATAGGACAGGCTCGAGGAGCGGAGGCGGCGGCGGCGGAAGGATGTCGAGACAATCATGCGATGCTTGCGGACGATGGATGAATGGAAGAGAGGGGGAAAAGCAAGTACCGCCCTGCGGTTGGCGAAGAACGAGGGCGATGGAGCAAACAGACAGCCAAGAAGGCGTATTAAATAAAATACACAGCAGCAGTAGCAGCACCGGTTCGTCGGGCAGTGGGGTGAGCAGCAAAGCAGAGCGGGAGGAGGGGGAGAGAAAAAAACGCAATGCTGTTGACGAGCTGGAGCTGAACCCGTGTCGTCTCCTCTGACCTCTCTGCTTCTAATGAAAGAGCAGATGAAGTGGAAGCCTGGGAATAGGAGGAGGGTTTGGGTGCGAGGAGGAATCGCAGGGGTGGAGATGGTGATGATGATAGAAGGGAGGGAGGGATTTCGGCCAGACGACAAAACCAAGACGGACTGGACGGGCGACGGAGACGGAGCCACCTCACAGACAGCTGGTGCAGGTGCAGTTGTAGGTGCAGCAGGTATACGGGAGCAGTAGGTAGGTGCTGGTACTGGCGGCGTTGGTGCTTGTGCACGCCCAGGTGGTGCACCTCAGTCCATCCTTCCGACCCGTTTCGTTAGGTGCTGGGCCTGGAAAAAAAAAAGTGTGGTGTTATTTTTTTTTTCTTCGTCTCTTCCTTGAGCCGTGGCTGGAGCTGCCCGCTCTGTTGGCTCGAGGTACCTAAACACCTTACCTAAGGTAGTTAGGTATCTTGGTACCTCTCTCAGCCAGTAGGATTCTCTCCTTGTTGCCGGCTCACTTCACCAGGCGTGCGACGTTGCGTGGTTGCTTTGGGCCGTTTGGGGCCTGGACCAGCTGGACGTGCCCGCTGTGGAGAGCTGCGAGCAGAGCTGCCCACTAAAATCACCTCGAAAGCTGTGAGGTAAGGAACCTGAGTTCGAGGTACGGGTACCTTGGAATGTTCGGGAGACTAACGTGAGGCTCTCGCACCAATCAGACATGCTTACCGCATCAGAATTGACCCACTCTGATATTCGTCGCTCTGCCTAGATCAATTACCTATCTTCATCAACTCATCCATGAAATTGTTGTTCATCAACTATTTCTACATGCCTCTATAACGCCTCGCACCATAGTATATTCATACATCTAGGAGTCTCAAATGTCCCGGCCGTCGAGCTTCACCTTCCATGCTGCCCACCCCAGAAAGTAGTCTAATACTCTCCAAACCCCCAGCGTGATGCGCCAGCATGCCGTTTCAGGTCTCAGACGCTGGGACGGCCCAGGATCTATCTCGATCTGGCACCGAACCTTAACTTCGTCGTGCTCACCATGTGTCTTCCCACAAACCTTGGCTTGGGATGACAACTTTTTGACTCTCTGAGAGAATAAACCTAGATCCGAGCCAAGAGTCAAAGGACCACTCACTGCATGCATTTCTAACTACACAGTTAATCGCGAGGCGGGTGAATTGGCATGGTTTAATGAAAAGCTGCTGCGTCCTTTCTACAAACCTTGAGTATGTGGACGGAGTGTATTGATATCCTGGTAGAAGTAGCCCAAATCATCATTGATATTTTGGAGACTTCTGTTCATATTGAGTCGATACTTGAATCTTTCATCTCGTCACAGACAATCACACTGTTGCAATTAGCTTTTACACAAGCGGATGATGACAACCGCAACGGACTAAGTCAGGGTAGACAAGGTCTTTCGAAAAGAAAGTCAACAGTGATACTATAATATTGTGACTCAATGAGCTATCAATGTCTTGTCGCTAGAGCTCGCCTGTCTATACCGCTCGGCTTTGAACACTCTAACTCTACGAAGCCTAATTGCTAGCTAAATACCTTCACAACAATGGTGTCCTAGAGTTATGTGGAGCATATCATGAGCGTATAGCTAATTCGGGTGAAATACAGTCCGAAATTGAGGCTTTGCAGTTCTTCATGCAAATCACCCTCAAGTTGATCACGAGGAAGGCAAACTCAATGAAAAGTTGCAAGTCCATTATCATCCGTATCTAGTCCCGCTAGAGGAACATATCGCTCAAATGACTTCATGAATGTCTTGTGACACAATAGCGTAATGCTTTAAGACAGCGGTGTGAGATTCTGCGTCTTCTCAATCTTCGGAACGCAGCCAAATCGAGTGTTTCCCTGATCCCAAATCTATTCCAAAAGTCAGCTTCATCTCACTTCACTGCCTGATCGGAATCAACAATTCCACTTACCGCATAAATCGACTTCAGGAACGCATCACCCAAGATGTCAAACTCGTTGGAACCCCGCGACTGCACTCCGCCGTACCAGAACCCATCACTCGCCGGCGCAAACGCAAGGTCCTCCTTCTGAATCACAAACTCCTTGTCACCGACGGCGACCTTGAACTCGGGCAGGTCGTCCGCCTTGGTGCTCGTCGGGAACACGTAGCCCTGCTGCTGGTCGTCGTACTTGGCACCGGGGATCGCCTTGTACAGCGCATCGCAGACCTCATCTGAGACGAGCGCCAGCGTCGTGCCTGTGTCTGCAATGGCCTTGTTCCCGTTCTGCGTCACGGCCTTGCCGTTAATACTCGCGGACCCAGACTCGAACATCCAGAACCCTTGCGAGTTATCGATGTCAGTCCAGTGGATATCCTCGCCCGAGGCCGAGACGAGATCCGTGTCGATCCAGCCAAATGTGTAAAAAGACCGCGGCTTCGCCTCGTCCCGCTCGCTATAAAACGCAGAGGTGAAGAGCTCCGCATCCTTGGGGATGTCTTGCTGCGCAATCATGTTCTCGACGGGTGTGGCGACGGGGTCGCGGAAGTTGCCATCGCGCATGACGGTGTTGATAGACCCGAAGGCGAGACCGAGAAGACCATCTCCGCTGCCCTGGGAGAACTGGTCTGCGAGCTGCGAGGCTGACTCGATCGCTTGGTTCTCGACTGTCAGCCCGCCGAGGACGAGGTTGTCGGTGCCAACATCGCCTGACGCCGAACTACCGTCGCCGTACGAGATCTTCCACGTCTTTCCGTCGAGCTTCTTGTAAGTTGAGGACTTGGAGGCGTCGAAGATGTTGTGACCCTTCTGCGTGGCGCTGCTAAGTTCGGTCGAGAAAACCTGACATGCGCTGTTAGTGAAGATAATTGGTAACATAGTTTGCCAGAGAGAGCCGAAATACCCAAAGATCAGAAGAACCTGTGTCAAAGTCCAACTTGAACTTCTGCGGTGGCGTGCCGATTGAGACTTCGCAAAGGTACATGGAGTCATATTGCTGGTCTTCGGCTGTAACATCCCCGTGCTGGTCGTCGCCAGTCTTCTTGGACAAAACCTTGCTCATGGAGACACGACCGCCGACAGCAGCATTGAACCCGGGAGCTGCAAGCCCTCTCTGAGCCATTCTTCGTGTCTGAACATAAGGGCCTGGCTTTGTTGGTTCGAACTTGAACTTGTTGAGCAGGTAGACGTAGGATTTGGTGCCATGACGCTGGTAGTTCTTGTTGGCGATGACGGGGATCTTGGAGAGGCCCTTGTCGGCCTTGAACTTGGCTTGAGCTTTGAGGAATGCTTCCATCTTGTATGCTTGAGAAAATGAGCTTTTTGTATTGTGTGAGTGTGAGTGTGAGTGTGAGTGTGTGTGTGTAGGTTGGTTGGTTAGGTCAAGTGGTTATGACAAGGGAGCTTGAACACTAGCTTGGCGGATCAGGGTGACGATTTAAATACCTGCCCGTTACGGTCAAGAAGCGACGATGACGACTCGGATGGACGGCACTCGATGAACCTGGACTATTTGGGTCGAACGTGCGATGGTAGGCAGTAAACCTGTTTGGATAGCGCTTGCGATGTGATGAGGGGGAGATATCACCCAGGAGATAGATAGCATGTCAATCATGCGCTGGCCCGTCGAGACTTCTTATAAGACAACAAGCTATTGTTTCGCTGACGACAACCCTGAGCTGAGCTCGACCGGGATCGCGTTATGTATCTCATCACGGCGAACCAGGGAAGAGCCCAATGCCGGCAGTGTGTAAGTGTGACAGCTCTCAGAAGACAAGGGATGGTGGGGCGGTGCAACTGCAGGCTTGAAACCGAGCTCTCGCGAATGCGCATTCGGACCTTCTGACCGTGCTCTTGAGCTGTGTTGAAGGGGAGGGGCTAGAAACAGGTCGGCCCTCGGGCGAACCCGATGAGGCAGTTGATAAGGAAGAAGAGGGGCGTCACTTGTTTGTGGAGTCTGCGTTGAGCCGACTCGAGCCATATGAGGAGTTGGTTGAGAGGGGGAAAACAAGAGGGAAACGCAGTGGAAATGGCGAGTTGCGGAGCCATCTTTTCGATGTCAAGGTGCCGACCTCTCGGTCAAAGCTTCATCATCCGCCTGTACTCTCCATCAACCTGTTCTTGGCTCTCCGGTCCAGAGAGCTGCCGAGACTTAGCATGACGAATGACACGTGCGAAACCAGGCACAAACTGAACCAAGATCAAAGCTCCCAAATGCCAGTCAGGAGAGAACGACTTCAAGAGACGAGCAAATCAAGCCAAGAGATGAGGTCCTCCCCCGCCGCCGATGATGTAACGAACTGCCGCACGGTGGTTCCGGGGCAAGGATCAGCTTAGCGGGCCATGTCCCGTCTTGGCGGCGATCGACTCCAGGCTCCTGGGAACCTTGCCAAGCACGATGCAAGACACAAGAAGCAGACGAGGCCTCCTGGTCATGCCCATGGTATCGCTGGAGATGAACCGGTTATGCCATGAATTTTCTCCTAGCCGCCGGGTCTAATCACGAGGTTCCATTCCGATGTGCCGCGATAGCTTGCACGAACGCGTAACAGGCAGATGTGCAGCAGCACTAGATGGACGATGAAGCGGTTTGTCTCAAATGCCAAGGGAAGCCCAAGGTCAATACATGAAGTCGTGTCCTCTATCTCGAGAAATTGGGAACTTCGACTGGTCAACATTTTACCTTGTTGGACTCGTGGTATTTTCCCGCTCAGCTTGGACCGTGAATCCGTTCTAACCTCAAGAGGTTTTAGGCGTCATTGAGCTTGATGATCCCAAAAGTAAAGCCTCGGACACCATTGCTGATCCAGCATGGCTCTCCTCCAACAAGGCTGTCAACTTTGACTTCTTCTTCCACGGCCAACCCACTGATTAAGTTAGTCAAACGCTCATCCCATGTTGGCGGGGAATGGCATAGCAGCTGACTTACCGCTCAAGTGCCCATCTACGGGTGGTCCCGTCTTGGCCACCGCTCCCACCTTCGGGACTATACTTAGCAGCCACCGGCGGGGTGACCCATCTGCCGTCTCGCCAGAAGAATGGGGTTGTCAGGCTACCTTCCATGATAGACCCGTCTTTTGAGTTTACGAGAAGGACTTCCTTGCGATCTGCCAGGCTGATAATCGCTCGACTACGAGCTGTATCATACATATTTCTCTCTGTAGTCTTGTAGTGGGTATACTCGGATTGTGTGGTCTTTGTGTTATCAACCACTACTATCATGGGATCCTCTTCCAAAGGATAGCCCGCTTCTGTCGATTGTCCTGGGGAGGGAAGCCGTTCTGGGAAGAGGTTCTCAAGCGACACCGCTGGGACTTGTGATCCTTCGCAGGTGAGGCGTCCTTCTGAGGTCAACAAGACTTTGACTCGTAATGGTTTCTCTCTTCCATGCTGAGTCAAGAAAGTCTCAATCGCCTCAGTCAGTCTCTGGAGGCCGTCCGATCCAGAGATAGCCTCGATGGCAGGGGTCCAATTCCAATAGGTGGCAGCCCGCAGCATCCGATCCCGGTGCAGATCTAGCATGTAGAAAGGTGAGGTCATCTTGGCGTTCCATCCTGCGTTGGCCAGGCGCCGCTTCGGTACGCCTATCAAGCCAGGGTCGTATCGAAGCGATGTGAATAACTGGAAGTTGGCCATGGTGCTGGGCTTCTTGTGTCAACCTTGGTGACTGATGCAGAATAATAGGTGTATGGTTGAAATTGACAATTTGAGGGTTCCGCGAGCGCGCGAGCGGGGAATAGTATTCTCTGATGCTTAAGAGAAAGAGTATGGTGACGTATTTTGAAGAGAACAGAAGCGCAAAAGTCGGGTTTTGAGTTCAAGAGCGTTAAGTACAAATGTGACCGCAAGAACCACCCTGGTTCAGAAATGTTCATACCGGGGTTACAGCGGGAGATGCTTGGGCCGCAATGATCTCCCGTAAGTTTATGTAAGCAGCACAAGGGTTCTTCACCAGCGAACACCGAACATCGCTGGATTGATGTTACAACAATTACAGGTGAATCGATGATTCGAGGGCAACAGATGAAACAGCCATTCGGAGAACCTATGAGTTCAGAAATTGCGAGCCAGTATGGAGTTAGAAAAAGAAGCCAGCGCCTTCTTTTCAGAATGGACAGATCGCCTTGGGATAAGCAAGAGACCATCCAAGTTAGTGACTAGTGACTGCAAAGTACGACATCAAGCAGAACAAGAGCTGAGATGATCAAGATGTCCTGAGATGGGTATCTGAAGAATGTCGGATCCTTTCTCCTGATAAACTAAGCTAAGCTGGTAGGAAGCTCGATTCAACTCCTTCTTCCGCCATGCCAAGGAAAAGGCCTGGTTGACTCTAGTAGACTGTCGAAGATAGGAATTAGATTGCACCATACATATATACGTCCAAGACGTCAAACTTATATGCACCAAAATCTCCAGTTACTTGCTTGAAGAAATCTAGATTCAACTATGTATCATAAGGACGTTGCCCCTTGAGACCCATAAGCCATTGCCCGATGTTTTAGGATGAGAAGCCGGGAGTACTTCGGTGTGACCACCCTACATACGTAGCAGACAATACAATTGACCTGTCAATTACTTGGGAGATGTGGAAGTCCATATCGCCACAGTCGTGTCGTGCTGTGTCCGAGGTGAGGTTGTCGAGACCCGGGAGAAGTCTTGGTGATCCTGTGATAGTGTCTACCCTTGCCGGCATCATATTTCCATTTCGGAAAGGTGCCAGACTTCCCTTACTTTCCGAGTTTGAAGTCACCTATGGTTCTAGTTTATAGAGGTACTACTAGGCTGTGATCACAATCCAAAACAAAACCCAATGTTCTTAATAGTCTTGGAATCTCGTGAGGCAATCGGTATCTCTCAACCACCATTTCGGAAACTTCAACGCACTCTTTCACATGACCGTCAGCTTACTTCACCTTATCTTGGATGGTTGAAGAGTCCTGTGACTTTTTTGAAGACTTTGGACGTCTACTAGTTGGGCATTTCAAAACTTCATAGATCATGATCGTGGGCTTGCGGGCCTTTGGACAAACCACATTTGCCTCACCTCTGCGACTCAAAACAGCCGACCAATCATAAGCGGGCATTTCCTATGCTTGAATTATACTTGAATTGAAGAAGTCTGGTGTGACGCTGTCTGTTATCTATAGAGAGTGCCGCCCCTCCTCATCTCTACTGGACCAGCGAGCGTAGGTGGGGGTGGGTGAATGTGTCATGTTGGCATCTGGTACCTTGCTTGTGGTGGTTGACCGCAGCCTTTCAAACAGAAAGGATGCAACTCTTCAAATCAAAACGATATCACCGGAATACAGTGTCACTTCGTACGTTATGGTTGCCAATCGACCGGCCGTCAACCCGATGTCTGACCACAAGCAAAGTGTGACTCAATCAGTGACCAACTGGGAGGTGAGGAGTCAAAGATAATCTTGTCTGAATTGTGTTTGGCCTGTCATATCTCAAGATGATTCATGGGAAATGGGTTCAGCTGGATTGGAACTTGTTTGTACAAGATCTGTCACTTGCATGTAGTTCTCGTCAGAGCGAGACAGTATAGATCATAGTAAATTAGAAGATGCCAGTTTGGAGTATCAAAGTTAGAAGGAGTCGGTCAGTCATGGAAGGTAAAGTAGGTAAAGAAAACAAGGCGGAATGCAATAGATGATATGGGATAGCATGGTAGACATCCAGTCGTTTTGGTGATGGTCTGTAATGGTGGGCGTAACCCACCGTGTTTTACCAAACAGACATCATGGCAACGGTGACATGTCTTCGACATATAGAGTCATTGTATGCGACAACCCCCTTTGTTTCCAGTGAGACTACATTATGTGAGTTAATGTGACTGACGTTGTATAAAGGTGAGGTTGACCTTTCCAAAGAGAAGACATTGGAGAGATTTTATTGTTATTTGATACCAAAATAAGCACAGTTCAGTTTCCCTCCGAGTCCATGCGGTGACATGGCTTGTCTGTCAAGGTACTTTACCTCACAGGCTCACGCTGCATGTTGGGTGCCGCCCGCGGGCTCTGGCTGACCAACGCACCCTTGCCTTGAGGACAATCGGGACCCTCTTTGGTTACGTAGTGTGCAGATGTATAGGCGGTCCTCCCTTGCGCCCCCACTCTTAAATCGCCTCAGGCAAAGCTGATTTGATGAATGACAGCACCAAGCAGAGGCAACTGCCCGGAAAAACTCCTCACGAGCTTCCCCGTCGCGCAATAATTTTTTGAGGACGGTTACTGTCCGGAAGCTCCTGGCCCAGCGCAAGTGCAACAGCAACAGCAAAAGCAACAGAGCAACAACACCTGCAGCTCCTGCACCCTCTACATCATCGACCACACTGGTCAGCCCATTAATTACATTCCTTTCGACCTCGCGACTTTTCTTCCTAGAACACCTCTGATACCTTTCTTCCCTTTCTCTCTCAATTGCTCTTGGGCTCGTCGCCATCATGTCGAATCCCCTGCCGTCCGTGCCTCCCATGGCCAGCCCTCCGACTGTCATCCCCGTTGATTCGTCTTCTGGTCTTTGGGATCGCATCACCTCATGGGCTTCAGATAATAAGGCCATTGTCTACACTGCCGCTGGTGTCGCCGTCGTCGCTACCGGTGCTGGTGTCATCTACTTCCTCAACAGCGACTCCGTACGTCATGCTTCCCATCTTATCCTCGCGACCCTCGTCGTCATGCGATCCAATTTTTTCCACCCGTTACTACCGAGATCTTGGCGTCTATTACTAGCACCAGATTGCTCCTCTCTCAAATAGCAAAGCTAACTCAAGTGCGATTGAAGAAGACAGACTCGACACCAAAGCTCAGCAAGAAGGAGCGAAGGAAAAGAAAGGAAGCCGAGCGGAAGGCTGCAGCAGATGCCGAAAAGCAGCCCACACCTGCAGAGGCCGCAGCCCCTGCATCATCCAAAGCAGCCAGCGTCGAGTCCGCCGACGAACTTCCCGAGATCACCGAGGCGACTGTTGCCGAGTTCACTACCGAAGAGCGGGAAAAGTATGCCGCCAAGCTTAAGGATGTCGGAAACCAAGCCTACGGTGGCAAGGACTACAACAAGGCCATCGACCTCTACTCCCAGGCTATTCTCTGCAAGGCCAACCCCATCTTCTACTCCAACCGCGCCGCCTGCTACAATGCCCTCGGCAACTGGGACAAGGTCGTCGAAGACACGACTGCCGCCATCAACCTTGACCCCGAATACGTCAAGGCACTCAACCGCCGCGCTAACGCCTACGAGCACCTGAAGATGTACGGCGAGGCCCTCCTCGACTTCACTGCTTCTTGCATCATCGATAGCTTCAAGAACGAGAGCAGTGCCCAGTCAGTCGAGCGCCTGCTTAAGAAGTTCGCCGAGCAGAAGGCTCAGGAGATGATGGCCAGCCGGCCCAACAAGCTTCCTAGTCACACTTTTGTCGGCAACTACCTCCAGAGCTTCCGCGTCAAGCCTCGTCCGGCTGGACTCGAGGACTCTGTGGCCTTGTCCGAGGAGACTGGCAAGGGACAACTCCAAGTCGGCCTGAGTGCTCTGGAGAAGAAGACTGGCGACGGATACGAGGAGGCCAGAGCGGCCTTTGAGAAGGCGTTGGAGTTGGGCGACCTGGGCGAATTCGAGGCTCTTGCTTACAACCTGCGCGGTACCTTCAGCTGTCTGCTCGGAAAGCACGACGATGCCATGGTCGACCTGACCAAGAGTATCGAGCTCGACCCTTCCATGACCCAGAGCTACATCAAGCGCGCCAGCATGAACCTCGAGCTTGGTGCCCCGGAGAAGGCCGCTGAGGACTTCGAGAAGGCCATGGAGCAGAACACCGAAGACCCTGATATCTACTACCACCGTGCTCAGCTCCACTTCATCAAGGGCGAATTCTCCGACGCCGCCAAGGACTACCAGAAGTCCATCGACTTGGACCGCGACTTCATCTTCTCTCACATCCAGCTTGGCGTGACTCAGTACAAGATGGGATCTATTGCATCATCCATGTCGACCTTCCGCCGCTGCATCAAGAACTTCAAGGAGGTTCCCGATGTGTACAACTACTACGGCGAGCTGCTTCTGGACCAGGGCAACTTCCAGGAGGCTATCGAGAAGTTCGACAGCGCCATCGAGATGGAGTCGAAGACGAAGCCCATGGCGATGAACGTCCTTCCTCTCATCAACAAGGCTCTGACCTTGTTCCAGTGGAAGCAAGACTTTGGTGAGGCCGAGAAGCTCTGCCAGAAGGCGCTCATTAGTAAGTTCAGACTACTCCATTGTACGAAGTGCAATTGCTGACCCTTGATAGTCGACCCCGAATGCGATATCGCCGTTGCCACCATGGCCCAGCTCCTTTTGCAACAGGGCAAGGTCACCGAGGCGCTCAAGTACTTTGAGCGCGCTGCAGAGCTCGCCCGCACCGAGGGCGAGATCGTCAACGCCCTGTCCTATGCCGAGGCGACCCGCACGCAGCTCCAGGTCCAAGAGAAGTACCCCAAGCTGGCGGCAAAGCTTCAGGGCATCGGCCCGGGTGGCATGCCCCGGTAAAGGGCCAATGACGTCCTGAACACGAAACATGTAAAACTCACCTACGGCGGCGTGTAAGAAGAAAACAGCAGATCCCTTAGCAGATGGGGGAGCGGATAGCCAAGACAAAGGGCTCTTGGTTGATAATAGGGGAAAATATCAAGGCGGGCAAGCCGCCCACCTCGTTGAGTCGTTTTTTCATTGGTCGGTGAGGGAGGCTTTGGGAAAGGAGAGCAAAGTCCAAGGCTCCGTACGTACGGCTGGGGAGGCATTGGTTGAAACCCTTACGTTGTACATAATCCGACTTCCCTCACTCTACGTACATTGGTGAGAGCATTGTAGAAGTAGTCCACTGTCAATCATCTTTTTCCATTTCCATACCCCTTCTTGCATATGAGTCCATCGTATGTTGCCTTGGTGTCTCTATATAAGGAATACATATATGTTGCGGTGAAAGGACAGATTTGAAGCAAAAGAAGTCATATAACCACCCGCGCAACATGATGCCCATCTTAGTTGCTCTTCAGGTTAACTGACGACCCCGCCCCAGGCATGATATTCACACTCACAAAAACATAGTTCGTGATCGAAAAACCACCAAAACAGCAAAAACCACAACACTTGCATAATCTTTACGACCCCCAGGGCCCAGGGGAGCAAAAAAATGGACGATCTGGGAATCGAACCCAGGACCTACCGCATGCTAAGCGGTCATTATACCACTAAACCAATCGCCCAATAGAATGATCTAGCCCGGACTTGAACCGGAGACCTTCAGTGTGGCAGACGACGGAGAGGCCGTGAGAGACATCTTTTCGAGTTGTTAGACTGACGTGATAACCAACTACACCACCAGACCATGTTTTTGTTGAAGTCGGCGAGGGAAAAAGGTGACTAGGTATGATTGGGGTGTGGGGGTGACCATACGGGTTGGGCCAAATTGCGCGGGCGTTGCTGTGCGCTGCGTTGCGGTGTGGAATGTGAAGAAGTGGATGTGGTGGCATCGCGAGTGCAAATTTCGTTGGTGGGCGGGGCGGAAAGACCGGGGTGCGCCCGTATTCCCAAACCCCGACAGGTTCTGGACCGGCCGGGTTCTCGCGTGGCTGCCATGGTTCGAATCGGGGATGTGGTGCTGATAGCCAGGGCAGGCCGGGTGGGCCGGAGCGGAGGGAGAGAAAGAAAAAAAAGCGGTTGAAGAATCTGAAGAGCGACTCGCCAAGGTCATGGGACATTTACAGGATGGGTCGGGAGCGGATCGATGCCATGCGAGTTCATAAAGTGTTCGCCATTGTGCGATACGTACAAGAGGGAAAAAGTGGTGGCCTCTCTCTCTTCCAGTCCACTCATGAGATCCAAAGGACTATGAAGTGGGAGGACAGACAGACACAAAATAAATACAGATAAAAAGTCCACTCCATATCCCCCCCCCCCCCCCCTCTTCCGTCTGATTGTGTGAAGAGTACGCGTACAATAAGTCAATCGTTGGTGGGGAATCAAGAGCCCGCCGTGTCTCCTATACGCGGCAGATGAAATAGAAAAAAAGTCGTGGCGTCGTCGGAAAAGAGCTGGTTTTTGGGTTCGTGAGGCAGCGCGCGTGTGTGCTCCGCCATCTTTTGTGTCGCCCTTAATTAGTACCGTCCATTCGTCCGTGCCATGGTCATGAAATCTAAACAATCGTAGTGTTGCTCTTTTAGAAGTGCTGTCCCGTTTCCAATCATATGAGGGAGGTGCCGCAGCTGCCTCCCCATCCCATTACTTTCTCCGAATCGTCGTCCTAGTGCAATTGCGCACATGCGCGTCCGATTGTTGTGATCACACCCGTTAATTCTTCTTGGTGAGAGCAACGCCCAGACCGACACCCAGCGCGATAGCAAGGATGATGAGTACGACAACGAGGAGGCACCACCACTTGAGCTTCTTGCGTCTGCGCGCGTGGTCCGTCGCAACCTTGACTTCTTCGTTGCCCTTTTGGATGTTTTCGACAGTCTGTTCTGCGTTCTGCTCGGCGGCTTGGACGACGGGCTCCTGCTGCTCGACCAAAGTGGCCAATTCCTGGAAGAGTTGGCCGAGCTCCATCATAGTCTGCTCAATGCGCTGCAACTCGCTGTGGCGGGCTCTGACGTTGCCCAGAATAGTGTTGGCGTGGCCTGTCCGATTGGATTTGAGCTGGTCAAGTCATTAGCATACGGTGCCGACATGCCGAGAAAATCGGTCAAAAACAACATCAAAACATACCGCTGTTTGGAAAACACCTTCGTCACCCCAGTCCATCTGTGTCGCTTGCTCGACTTCATCTTCCGTCGCTTCCGGGTTGACGATGCGGTACTGGCGGGCAATTTGGTCGCGGTACCGTTTCTGGTAATCGCGCTCGATCTGCTGGTATTTTTCGAGTTCCGACTTGAAAGTGTTCTTCAAAGAGTTGAGCTGTGCGGTCTTGGTTGCGCGCGATCCGTCCTGTGTCTTGGATAGATCCCTCTCGAGGGCCTTGATGCCCTCCTTGACGCCGGTGTTGCGGATTTGCGTCGCGGAGACAGCCTGCTCAAGCTGGGCGCTGGTGCTGCCGTCGGGGGAACCGAGAGAGCGCTGGTGAAGCTGGGCAATGCCCTCAATATCGGAAGTCAGGCCATTGATTTCTGTGCGCAGTTGTTGGACCCGGGCGAGGAAATCTTGCTGGCTCAGAGTACGAGGCGCGGATTGCCCGGCATACTGGCCCGCCTCTCCGTACGGCTGCATCTCGTACTGGCCTTGGCCATATTGAGGCTATAATCCAAAGAAAGTCAGCGATATGGAATTGAGAGGGCATGTGCGGACTGAATTGAAGGGCGACGGACCTGTTGGTTGTCATAGCCGTATCCGCCCTCGGCCTGGGGGCCCTGGGCGTAGGGATTTTGGTTATACTGTTGGTACGACATGTCTGACTCAAAGCGACTGTCAATGCCGACGATAGACAGTGCGATTCGAACCGCAATTTATTGGGCGAGCGAGCAGAATTGAATGAGAGACTTCGGCGCTATATGGTGTGATGGAGCCGGCGGGCTCGTGAGATTGTTGTGGTGGTGCAAGGTGAAGGACCTTTCGGCTGATGTTTGGTTGTTAAATGACGTTGGATCTCCGACCGCTGACAGGAACTGGGAAGTGCTGGAGAGACGCTGAAATGACAATGAGGACGGGCCCAATCAGGCACCGGGACCTGTCAGAGCGGATACCCCGGGCTGTGTATATGGTTGGATGGAGTCGCTCGTGTACGGGGCGACAGTGGGCAGGATTGGCCGATCTGCTTTCCGGGGTCCCTTTTTTTTTCTTCTCGTTCCCTTCTTCCTGTTAAATTCGGACCAAGAGGAAACAGATAAACAAGCTTTACGAAGGAAATTATTTCTTTTAAAATGAACCCAGAGATGAGAAGGTACTTGAGGCTGTCCACCGCACCTTTCAGATCGTAGTCAGACCCGATACTTTACTCGATTCTCAAGACGTCGGCCGCGAACAGTGAAAGACTGGATGAAGCGAACACTAGGTCAGTGACATCAGAAGATGTTGCGCCGACGGGCGGGGCGAAGCTTATTATACCCGGGACGCATGTTATTCTCTGTAGCGGCAAGGTACCTCAGGGACAGACGGACGGACGGTCTCACCCACCCCCAGCGAGTCCCAAGGGTCTGTTTCCTTCTCTCACTAAAGGTGAGGTGGGCAGCAGTTGGGTCACACACACACACACACACACAGGTTACTTTTTAGGTGCTCTGCTCTGTGTCTGCCCACCGCCGTCCGACGGGCCTTTGGTGCTAGCTGGAGGCTGGAGGCTGGAGCTGCCCCTCGTTCTCTCCGGGGGTCCGGCCAGGCCTGTCCGTTTCCTTCTCATTCCCGTCCTTTCCCATCCTCGCTTGGCGAGCAACGCCCAGCCACCCCGCTGCGGAAAAAGTGACGATTGACAGGTGAGCAGCAGAATCGCAATGGAATGGGGAGTGTTGCTGCGTAGAACATGGGTTGCTGAGTGGCGGCGACGGCAACGGCAGATGTCAAATCATGTCTGCGCCGCCAAAAATAGACCTTCAGACTCGGAATGCGGCTACAGCACAGTTTGGTTGGTGATTTTGAACCAATTGGCTCTAAGCTGCATCGCATACTGGACCCTTTCAGGTCCTACCTGATGCCAAAGCCGAGAAACGGCAGGCAGAAGCTCAAAGTCCGTCGGCTTGTTCGCTGACCACACTGGTCCCTAGCCCAGGAAATCGTCACCATTTTGTGGCTGTGTGAACACTTGCAGTTAACACACCTCAACGTTAACGTCCTAAGCCACTCGTTCCTCTTGCCGCGTATTAGGAGACATCCTCGGGCAGTGCTCAGTGCTGTACTGCCTCTATGATTGCCCACTTCGCCTTTTCCTTCTGGCCCTCTACTCCGTACACCATGCTTCTATCGCACAAGGCGATCATAGGCGATGAAGGCCACACCGACGATTAGTCAATGAGAGCCACTACGACCAAAGTCCCTCCCACGGCTTCTGCGTACTTTCGGCCCGTATCCGTATTGCGCGTAGGTTCGTGGCGGGGCCTCCATGACACCGAACTCTGTAAGCGACCATTGGGACCATCTGATGTATTCCGTCCCATGCTCAACCTTCGCTCACTGAGATCTTGGCGTTACCACGCGCCAAGGCTGGCTGCTGCTTACCGTTCATTGGCTCGTAACAGCTATTGCAAAGAAAGATGCCCGTCTCCATCTCGAGGCGTCACCTAACCTTGTTGAATGACATTGCACCCTACGAGCCGCGGCGAACTCGGTGGTATTAGTTGTCAACTCAATTCGTGGTCATGAGCCGCACTCCTCCAGCTACGGACGTCGACATGCTTTGTCATGAGCAAATCAACGGTAAGAACTCAATTGCCTGACTCTCAACGGCCGGCCACACTAATCGCAACCAATCGGATGTAATACTTATTATTCAACAACATTTTGATGCTTTTTTGCCTGCCTTGACTTGTCTTCTCCTGAAGCTTGGGAAGTCTCTGTTTTCTACACTCCACCATCTTGCCGTTGTAAGCCGCCAAGAAACTACGGCGTTCTGGCTTGGATATCTTTAGTTCAACATCGTTCTTCATCTTCCACTTCGTCTAGTCCCACGAGTGCCTTTGCCACGACTCTCTTCGTCTCACGTCCATCGACGTCGCTTGACCGGCGCCTGGGTATTGTGGCTTCATTGAAACCCGCGTTCTCGTTACCTACGGCTCCGTTTCGTGGCGCACTGGTTGACAAGTCCTGTTCGTCGTTGCGGCATTTCGCCCACGCAACGAGCCGATCTTCTGGGCGCGGATCGTAATGTACTTGCCCCATGATCTCTCACGGCAGCGACGCCTAAGCCTTCGACCGCATCTGTCATGTCGGTTCTCTCCGGTGGCCCTCTCTCACAGGTACTCCTTCTTTCTACCAGTACGAGTGTACTGTGTAAGGTGCCACTCAACATCGCCATCCTTGTTTTCCAAGGTTCCACCGCGAATCTCGAAGGGGCGCATCGTCATCCGAGGTCCAACCTCAGCGAGCTCGACAGAATCGTACGAAGTCCGGACAAAAACGTGACTACCAAGGGGTTAGCAAAGGTCTGGCGGGGATCGGAGCTTCGGATGAGCTTACTGTCTGACTTCAATGGAGTCTTCATTGTTCACAAATGTCACTACCCTTGACCCTACCTTAGCCTTGGTGGTCGGGGGATCGAGCGGAGGGAAAAGATGTTTCAGGATCTTCACGATCCGCTGTCCAAGCCGGCTTGAAGAGTTGATTGATGATTAGTGACCGTCGAACGACCTCCGAAGCTGATATCTCATACCTCTTAAAACCCTCAAATATTAACCGTGGGAAAGCCTCTGAGACGGATCCTCTGATACTTCCGGGTATATCTGCTCTGAGTACAACGTTGTGGAGCGACATGGATAGCGTAGGGCCGTGGGGAAGATGAGAAATGCTGTAAGAGAGGTTCGTCAGCTGGTGGCTCTTCTTGGATTCAATACAAAGTGCGTACGTCATGGCAGTCGGTACACCGCGATGTTCGTGAAGGAGGACAATGTCTGTGAGCCCGTTGGACTTGCTGGACTGCACAATGTCCGGAAGAATCAAATTTCCACGATTGAGCCGAACGGATGTAGGGAAGAGCAATCTGATCTCTTTGGAGAAGGCTGAAAGCCTTGAGGACGGGTCTCTTGAAGTCTGAAAGGGTTAGCTTCTACTTATTTGCCTGGATAGGAAGAGCAGAATAAACTAACTGTAACCAAAAGCCGTGGCTCCGAGATTCCCGACAGCTGGGAGTATTCGTCGTCGAGATCCATCTCCTCATCGACTGTTCGATCGGGTCGCGACTCGTCATATTGGTAGTCTTTCCGCAGCGCCTTGTTCTTTGCGATTTCGGGGTCGATGGGCTTGCCAGAAGCAAGAGCAGATCGTAGCTGGGCGCGCTTCTCGGTCGTCTCCGCCTCTTTCAATATAAGCGCCTTGCGATAGAGGTAGTCGCGCCGTTGTCGGGCCTGTTTCCGGATCATGTTGGGCTGTTGGTATGTGAGATGGTGGGATGTCAATGCTAGAGTTCCGCAATGCATCCAACGTACCTTGGACAGGCTGATCGAGAAAAAAACCTTATCAGGTGGCAGGTATCCACTTTCAAGCACCCCAATGTGACAGTCACGTGGTGATAAGCTACATCCCACCAAAACACCACCCTTTCGCCGCTGCTCTGTCGGACCTTGGATCTTTCTTGGGTGTTTGGATTCACCAACGAAAAGGCACGCAACCACTCCCGACAAGTCTCTGCCCCGTTGGTGTACCTTTGAGGTTTCCGCACGAATCCCCCAACTTCACATACCGATATGATGTGACCTTCCCCCTCCCCGATCCACCTCGAATCCCCCTTCCGTACGACCTGAGCCTACTGAGGCTCTGCGACGCCGAACCATTCGAGAACCATAAAGAAGCTGAAGTAAGTTGCGCATTCTCCATAACACCAAAACGATGCCCCCGACACCACCGCCGGCACATGCAAAGGCATTTCTACAGTTACATCGTATGCGACAGTCCACTGACACTCTTGGAAGGGAGATCAGCAGAGAGAAGTAGAAATCCGGAATACCGCGAATATGGAGAGCGCCTTCAAGAATCTCGGGAACCACCTAGTTTCCGACAGCGCCGCTGCGATCAAGGCAGGTGACGATGTCTTGACCGGTATCGATGCCGACGAGAGCCTTCTCTACGGCAAATTTGGCGGCCGCGACGGTCGCCGCCGTGCCGACGATGACGATAACCAAACCGAGCTTTACGATGATGACGATGTGGACAGCCTGACTAGCATGCCTGTTGGGGCTATGAAGGATCTCAATATCGGAAGACCCAAGGAGGAAGATAGGAAGCTTCCCCCTCACGCTTGCGCGTATGGCATGCCTCCGAGCTTCCGAGCCCTCTCTTGAATCTAACACTGGCTTAGGTATTGTGGAATTCATTCCCCGAGCTCCGTCGTCAAGTGCCTTGGCTGCAACAAGTGGTTCTGCAGTGCCCGCGGAAATGCTACCTCAAGCCACATTGTTTCCCATCTGGTCCGGGCGAGACACAAGGAAGTCCAGCTTCACCCGGAATCTACCCTGGGTGATACTGTACTCGAGTGCTACAACTGTGGAACCAAGAACGTCTTTCTCTTGGGCTTCATTCCTGCCAAGTCGGATACCGTTGTCGTGCTGCTTTGTCGTCAGCCTTGTGCTGCAAACACCTCTTCCAAGGATATGAGCTGGGACACCTCTCGATGGCAGCCCCTGATTGAGGAGAGAGCTTTCTTGACCTGGCTCGTCGCGACGCCCTCCGATGCCGAGCAACTCCGCGCCAGACACCTCACCCCGCCGATGATTGCCAAGCTGGAGGAGATGTGGAAGGAAAATGCGACTGCTACGGTTGCTGACCTTGAGAAGGCTGCTAGCATCGACGACGACCCTCATCCCGTCCTCCTCAAGTACGACGACCCTTATCACTACCAGAACATTTTTGGCCCGCTCGTCAAGATGGAATCCGACTACGACAAGAAGCTCAAGGAAGCCCAGTCTGAGGATGGACTCACGGTCCGCTGGGATTACGGTCTGAACAATAAGCACCTGGTCAGCTTTGAACTGCACAAGATAGAGTCGGGTGACGTCAAGCTGGCCGTTGGCGACGAAATGCGACTACGTTACAAGGGCGAGCTCCGCCCTGCCTGGGAGGGAGTTGGCTATGTCATCAAGATCCCCAACAATCAGTCTGACGAAGTCACCCTCGAGCTGCGTAAGGCCGGCAACGAGAAGACTGTCCCGACTGAATGCACCCACAACTTCTCAGCAGACTATGTCTGGAAGGCTACCTCGTATGATCGCATGCAGTATGCCATGAAGACTTTCGCCGTGGACGACATGAGTGTCTCGGGTTACATTTTCCACAAGCTCCTGGGTCACGACGTCGCTGTTGCGCCGATGAAGACGACTATGCCTAAGAAGTACAGCGTCCCTGGCCTTCCCGACCTCAATACCAGCCAGATCGCCGCCATTAAGGCTGTGCTGTCGACCCCGCTCAGCTTGATTCAGGGACCTCCGGGCACTGGCAAGACTGTCACTTCGGCGACCATCATCTACCATCTGTGCAAGATGAACAATGGACAAGTCCTCGTGTGCGCGCCCTCCAACGTCGCTGTCGACCAGCTCTGTGAGCGCATCCACCGCACTGGCCTCAAGGTCGTTCGTCTTACAGCCAAGTCCCGAGAGGATGTGGAGTCCTCCGTGAGCTTCCTTGCTCTTCATGAGCAGGTTCGTATGAATGACAGCAATGGTGAGCTTGTCAAGCTTGCGCAGCTGAAGACCGAGCTTGGCGAACTGTCCAGCCAGGACGAGAAGAAGTTCAAGCAGCTCACCAAGGCCGCCGAAAGAGACATTCTACACAACGCAGATGTCGTCTGCTGCACTTGTGTCGGTGCCGGTGATCCTCGTCTGTCAAAGATGAAGTTCCGTAATGTCCTTATCGACGAGTCGACTCAATCGGCTGAGCCCGAGTGTATGATTCCTCTCGTTCTCGGATGCAAGCAAGTTGTCCTCGTTGGTGACCATAAGCAATTGGGCCCTGTCATCATGAACAAGAAGGCTGCCAAGGCTGGTCTCAACCAGTCCTTGTTCGAGCGCCTCGTCAACTTGCGCTTGGTTCCCATTCGCCTCAACATCCAGTACCGCATGCACCCTTGCTTGTCCGAGTTCCCTTCCAACATGTTCTACGATGGATCTCTCCAGAACGGTGTTACAGTCAAGGATCGCGTTCGCCGCGATGTCGACTTCCCTTGGCCTGTTGTTGATATGCCGATGATGTTCTGGTCCAACCTTGGCAATGAGGAAATCTCGGCATCCGGAACGTCCTACCTCAACCGTACCGAAGCCTCCAACGTGGAGAAGGTTGTGACCCGCTTCTTCAAGGCCGGCGTAAAGCCTTTGGACATTGGTGTTATTACTCCGTACGAGGGTCAGCGAAGCTACATCGTTAGCACCATGCAGAACACTGGCACATTCAAGAAGGAGAGCTACAAGGAAGTCGAGGTTGCCTCCGTTGACGCCTTCCAGGGTCGTGAAAAGGACTTCATTGTTCTGTCCTGTGTTCGTTCCAACGACAACCAGGGCATCGGTTTCCTTTCAGATCCCCGCCGTCTCAACGTCGCCTTGACTCGTGCCAAGTACGGTCTCGTCATTATTGGTAACCCCAAGGTCCTTTCCAAGCATGAGCTTTGGCACCACCTCCTTGTCCACTTCAAGGACCGCAAGTGCTTGGTTGAGGGGCCTTTGACCAATTTGCAGACCTCGCTCTTGCAATTCGGAAAGCCCAAGACAGCATATCGCCAGAAGATGAGCCAGGCCCCTCAATTTAATGCCGGTGGCGGGTTCCCCAACGGCGGCGGCAACCGCTTCAACGGTGCTGGCTCCACTCGCGATTTTGACTCGGGATCTATGATGTCCTACATTCCCGACGACGTCTCCTCCATCCATAGCTCTCTGGGCGGTGCCGGCTTAAACACCACTTACCCTCCCATCTTCTCGAGCTTCACCCCTGATCAATGGCCTGGCCTCCCTGGAGTGCCCGGATCCAGCCGTTCCGGCATCAAGAGAGGAGGTCGCGCCACTGAGAGCATTGCGGGAGAAAGCGTCGCAAATTCCGAGTACACAGATGCTAGCGCCAGCGTCATCGGTGCCAAGGGTGTTGGACAGGGCGGTGTCAGCCTGGGCGCCGGTCTCCAGGACGCCATACACGGTATGCGCCCTGCGTCCTACAGCCACAGCGACCGCCTAAAGCATTATGTCGAGAGTGGTGGTCGCATGGGAGCCGGCAATGGCTTCGGCCGTCGCTACGACGACGACGAGAAGAGCGTCAGCACCGCCTTCCACAGCCAGATTGGTGGCGGCTTCGACTGAGTGCCGAGATGGATTGGGACAGGGACTTGCTTTACCAAACCCAAGGGTTACTTATACCTCATCCTCTGAAGGCTTCAGCCCTCGCCGCACCATGCTCGGTGCTGTACACAGGAACAGGCAGTGTGCCTGAGCCTAGAGGCGTCTCGGAATACCGGCCCCGGTCATTGAGAATCACTCCACGTGGTCGACCATTCGGCTTCCAACGACGACAACGACGTGCCGCAGGCGGGTCATGGCCCGACCAGCGAGAGCTGCAACCGACGGAGGGGGTCGCACGCGCGCCCTCAACGGCCCGTACTTTGCAGATTGTCAATCAGAGAGATGTCGAGTGTTAGCAAGGGGATGAGATCTGGCGGGGATAGGAGGTTATGCTCGGGCGGAGGACACGGGTCAGCGTCTGAGGAGGCAACTCAAAATGCGGTCGAGCATTAAGGCGTAGAAGCGATAAGTCTTCTATGGCACAGTGCAATTACTGCGAGGAAGCCCACGGCAGATGTCATGCAGTTTCTAAGCTGCACGCAGAAAGCGCACTACGAGATCCAGCTTAGAGTTTAGCTTCTTAGTTTAATCACCGTCTTTATTTGCACCTTGTGCTCTGCCCCCCCGGTTGCGCTAATCATCGCGAGACTAAGGTACCCTCCCAGTATTCTTATCCACCGGCCTGGCCGGGCCGGAGAGGTAAGCTTGTCAATATGGCACACGCGGACCCTGTGTTCCTCAAGTATCGGATATACTCCGAATTCAGGTACCTTTTCGAAGTAAGTGCCGTGGTGCCTTGCTTATTACGGAGTACTTGTTTGGATTCAAAGGGTAGAAGAACTGTATCCTCTTTTTTTCCTTGCTGATGGCGTAGCATCAGCCAATCCATTGATAGACAGGGGGCAGGCTCCGGCACCCCACAGACTTGAAAATAGATTGGCAGCCGTGGCAGCGACGGGGGGCCACCCATGTCTAAGCGCGGGAGCCTCACCCAATCTGACAACGACAAGCAGGTCACCACCCCCTGACAGTCCTGACGGACATGCGTTCTTCGCGAGAACGGGCCATCTGATGGGAGGTCCACTATGACGATCCGTCTGATTCTTGGC